ATGGTGGGAGGTGTCCAACACTAGTGCTTGCACTCACCGCCTCTTACTTTATTTATATGCATCTAAACTAAAATTAATCTTAGAAAGGAATATCAACTGCACCAATGTATGTTTTCTTGTGCACTACTGAGTAAGGTGAGGATATTTTATTTAACCATTGTCTCTCAACCGAGGTCGAATGGGTAAGAAAAAGCCTCAAATCCTAACAATGAATGATATAGCCTCATAGAGAAGAAATGGACAAAATATAGTATCTTTTACAACTATAAACAACATATACAATTTTTTTTTCAAGTGGTATGTTCTCAGTATGTGGTCACTCCTGCTCCCCTTTCCTGCAAAATGTTGATAGGATTAGGTCTAAAGTACCACCAATATGACGTTTACTCATTGAACAAATTGTATAAGTTAAAAAAATAGTCTTCTGATGGTTATAGAATTAATTTGTACAATGTATATATCCCTCGCCATTTCTCACGTGTTAAATATTATTTAAAAAAATGATATTGGCAAAAAAAATTATACATATATAAAAAACCAGTACGGATGGGTCCGGGCACAGTGGGCACGGGGAGGATAAAGGATAGTGCCATTGAATAAACCTATTGAATCGCAACAGCTGTGTTAAATGTGTACATATAGTAGTTCGTCAAGCGCCCGCCGTTGCCTTTGTCGCCAGTCATTTGAGGGTTGTGTTGCCAAATGCCAGTTCGATAGCGATTATTATATGCTACACGGCCACACCCTGCTGTACTGTGTTTACTGATACTTACTGTATACTCACTAACCGATTGTAATTGTGTTGTTTTCTGTCGATTTTACTGTCCAATATTGTTGTGGTGATTTGTGAAGATTAACTCTTATCGTGCACCGCTTTCCACTGTACGCGATACCTAATAAAAACTTGCAGGTATGTTTAAGAAAGTAATAGAATAGAATTATTTTAAAGGGACCGTGTGTTAACCTTATATTATTATTAAAGTTACCATAGCCTTTTACTGAGTAACTCTGCAGTAAATTGCCGCTAATTCTTTTTTTATGGTTGAGGTGTCCAACTCTAGTGCTTGCACTCACCGATTCTTATTTTATTTATGTGCATCTAAACTAAAATTTATCTTAGAAAGGAATATCGACTGCAACACTGTATGTTTTCTTGTGCACTACTGAGTAAGGCGAGGATATTGTATTTAACCATTGACACTCAGCCAAGGTGAAATGGGTAAGAAAAAGCCTCAAATCCTAAAAATGAATGATATAGCCTCATAGAGAAGAAATGGACAAAATATAGTATCTTTTTTAACTAAATACAACATTTACAATTTTTTTTCAAGAAATAAATTAAGTGGTATGTTCTCATTATGTGGTCACTCCTGCTCCCCTTTCCTGCAAAATATTGATAGGATTAGGTCTAAAGTACCACCAATATGACGTTTACTCATTGAAAAAATTGTATAAGTTAAAAAATAGTCTTCTGATGGTTATAGAATTAATTTGTAAATAAACTGTCGTCATGGTCGAAATTAATTAACTCATTTTTTCTTAAATATTTTTTTATTTAAATTTTATTTTCATTAAATATTTCTAGCTGACACTAAACAGATTAATGACTATTTCTGGATATTATTTGTACGTTGCCACTAGTGGCGTCGCGTCGATTTTATTATCAAGTATTGTTGTGGTGATTTGTGACAATTAACTCTTATCGTGCACCGCTTTACACTGTACGCGATACCTAATAAAAACTTGCAGGTATGTTTAAGAAATTATAAAAATCCATTTATTTCAAAGAGACCGTAACTTTTGTGGTGTTACAAAATAATCTTCTGGAAACGGAGAAAAGATTACTTAATTTGTGTAAGCCGTGATTATCGTTAATGTAAATCGTTTTGGATTAGAATCTGTCTAGAAGAAAATAAAAAACAATCACGGTAGGGCTTCGAGAATTTAGATTATTAAATTATTAATTTATTTGGATACTAAGTTAAATTTTATATACGTCTTTGATGTTGAAATCTGGAATTATAATTTTTTTATAGGGACAATTTTCTTTGTCTATGGTATACATTTACTCAACCTGGCAGCCCTCTTTTTTTTAAGATATTTTTAAACATAAAAATAACAGTGTGTTTTATGTAGTTTACTTATTATTTCTTGTCAGTTAGATTCGCAATAAAAAATGATGGAAATGAAATTTGTTTCAAAATAATAATCGGTTTGAATATTAAAAAAAATAATTGTAAGCAACATAATATAAAATTGGATTAATAGACATAATCACTAAATATGTATCAAAGGCATCAAGCTGAGGCTAGGTAGTCTTCGGCCATCAGTTTCAAGAATGAATCTTTTCATTAAGTTACCACATATAGTAGTGCTAGAAGAATATTAACTCTTCAGTTGTAATTCTTTCAGCATGCCCAAAAATACTAGTGGCGTCGCGTGATACTTGGTGGTCCTAGAACCTATAGGAGATAAAAGTCTCTTCAACCACAGAAATCAAATTATAATAATAAATAAACGTATTTATAATTATAATAAACAATTATAATGATAAATAAATTTAGTTATGGTCTGATGCTATAATTAAATGGAAAAATATATGTAAGTTTTCATTACTTAAAAATGTATTAAAAACTGTAAGATAAATATTGTATACCTAAAGTATAATTTTTGAGCCTTCATTTGAGTGAGCTTAAGTAGGCATCCCTAATAAAATTATATACCTTTAGACTTAACTCTCTAAGCTAGAGCGACATAAAGCAATAGTTTCCATCCCTTCTAGGGGTAAAAGTTGATTATATTTTATTGGTTTGTCAACGTTTATCGGTGGTACTATATCTAAGGAATATTCCATACAACCTTGAAATTAATTCTATAATTTTTTAAAAGCCAGTACAGTGGGTCGGGGCATAGTGGGGATGGAGCATAGTTGGGTCGGGGTATAGTGGGGACGGGGAGGTCACAGGTTTACAGGAATTTTTAAATCTGAAAGTGATTAAATCGGTAATTAGTATTTTCAAGCCAGTACAGTCCAAACCAAGCACAGTATAAACCAGCAAAGTTAGAAAGTTTTAAATTAAGGTTCTGTATTTACAAATGAGCATCAAAACGTTTATTTGAAAGTGATTTTATTCAATTTTATCACTTTTATTTATAATAATTCCTAAAGACCTGTGACCTCTCCGTTTCCTTATTGCTTTGATTACATTATGCCTATACTCTACTGTACTAGTCCTCTCGGATAAAATCACTTTCAAATTAACGCTTTGATGCTCATTTGTAAATACAGTACCTTAATTTAAAACTTTCTAACTTTGCTGGTTTATACTGTGCTTGGTTTGGACTGTACTGGCTTGAACATACTAACTACCGATTTGCATCGAATCGTTTTTCGAAAGTGATTTTATCACTTTCAGATTTAAAAATTCCTGTAAACCTGTGATCTCCCCGTCCCCACTATGCCCCGACCTAACTATGCTCCGTCCCCACTATACCCCGACCCCACTGTACTGTTTTTTTTTTAATAATTGTGTAGGAGCAGTATCATGATGTTAAATGTTCACGAGATTTGATCTAGTCATAAAATAAAGTACTATCATTCATGACTCTTAAATACTATTAAAATATATCTTAACTTGAACACAGTAATAAAATAATGAAATATTTTATACAAAATTAGAGCTACAAGTTGATAAACTAAAAAATTAAAACTAGCACGAAGCAGATTACATATCTTATATAACATAATTTAAACAATCAAGCGTGAATCTCTTTAAATGAATAACAGTATAACAATATGCAACACATTAGTTTTCCTTTAAAAAAATTGTGTAATAAAAAATACATTTTTGGGCGGTATATTGCATAAAAACCAACACATAATCTGAATCCAAAAAACAACAGTCCTCTTCATAATTTGCAGGTAATTGGACCTCATATACTCATAGTTGACCTTCGATAAGGTAATATAACGCAGGCGATCAAATAACGAGATAACGACAATGGTTTTGTCGTATCAGAATCATTAAGTGTCTTAATAAGTACACGGATAGGTTCTTTTCCCAATAAATCATGTGTGTCTACTATAATCAGATACACGATTTAGTCGTCTGTGATATCATGTAATAAACACAATATTATGATCATGACCAAAAGGCCCTAACCTAACCTAACACGGATAGACGTTACCAATTGATAGTTTTTAGTGTCTGTTCGTTTCTCACATCTGGTACACCGGGTTTTTAGTTAAAAAAAAAAAATTGAATTTGTGTAAACTTAAAGTCAAATGTGGTACTCGAGCACAAAACCTAATAGTATCATTCTGCATAGATATACATAAAAAAATTTTTAATGATTTGATAAATTTTTTTTAAAGATTTTAGGTGTTTTTGTTAAAATATACGAAATCTGCGAAAACACAGTTTCCCGGCAATTAAAAACAAACTGTAGTGCCGAATTTTTTTCCCGTTTAATATGTTATGGATAGATATGAGTTCCAACTACTGGCAAATTTTCAACCCAGAAGTCTTAAAATTACGGCTAAAAACCCAGAAAAACAACAAAACTTTTACCCCCCCTAGGGGGATGGGAAATGGATATAGTTTAAATTTGACACAACTGACGTGTGCGGGCATACCAAATAAATAATTCTTACACATTTCAACTCGATCTGACTCTTTTTCTTGAAATTATAGCCAGTAAAAGTTCTAACTTAAAAACTCGTACAATTTTTTTTTGGTTTTTCAAAATTCGTCTGTGAAGAATTAAACTTTTCCACCTTTAATCCCCCCCCCCCCCCAAAGTACAAACTCGATCAAATTTGTGATTTATAGAGTGGTGAACTTTTTTTTTTTTGGCCCAACAAAGTATATTGCAACATATGATGTTAGTCTTCAAAATTATTTGAATTACCAATATAGACTTAAAGTTAGCAACACAATGTTCTACCAATTTTTTTGTTCATAATTTCATTAGTTAAAATATGCATTGTTTTTTTTAGAATGAGCCAAATTCTGTTGAAGGAAGAAGAAATAAAAACAGAAGTGGATATAATAGATGGGTGGTGTTACACGACACAGATTCAAATTGTGAAAACAGAGCTAGACGACACTGTGAATGTAGAAAAATCATGTACATGCAATGAGTGTAATAAATCGTTTGCCACTAAAAAGGAAATTGCCCATCACTTAACAAAAACACACAATAATTTATATTCAACACCAAAGAACTGTCTCCCAACAGAATTTCAAAAAAATCACCAAACGTCAATACAAAATGGTATGAAATACCAATGTAAAGTGTCTGATAAATGTTTAAGTAGCACATCTAATCTCAATTACCATCGGGCGGTTCATAGTGAAGAGAGACCATTTGCATGCAGTATTTGCGATAAAACATACAAACGGAACAATGAGCTGACGGATCATGAGCGAGTGCATACTGGCGAAAAACCGTACAATTGCAATGACTGTGACAAATGTTTTACATGTTTGTCTGGTCTCATATCTCACCAAAGAGTACATAGTGGGAAACCGTATGTATGTGACGTATGTCAAAAAACGTTCACTCTAAAGGCATCCTTTACAACGCATCGGCGTACTCACACTGGGGAGAAGCCCTACAAATGCCAAGATTGTCCTAAGAGCTTCACTAGTTCTTCAAATTTCACTAAACACCGGAGGTTCCATAGTCGCGAAAAACCCTATGTGTGTAGCGTTTGTCAGAAATGCTTTGCTCAATGGAGTTCGCACAACGCACACCAGCGCACTCATACCAAAGAAAAACCCTATAAATGTGAAATTTGTTTAAAATTTTATACATCTGGGTTTAATCTTAGAATCCATCGTAGAGTTCACACCGGAGTAACCCCATATAAATGCAATATTTGTGAGAAGTCTTTTTCTAATAAATCAAATTTTAAAGTACACCAGCGCACTCATACCAAAGAAAAACCCTACAAATGTGAATTTTGTTTAAAATGTTATACATCTGGGTTTAATCTTAGGAGCCATCGTAGAGTTCACACCGGAGTAACCCCATATAAATGCAATATTTGTGAGAAGTCTTTTTTTAATAAATCAAATTTTAAAGTACACAAGCGTATTCATACCAAAGAGTAATACTTTGAATGTCAAGTTTGTGCTAAGAGTTTCACTGGCTTTTCAAATCTCATCAGACATCGCAAGATACACGGCGGAGAAAACTCTACATAACACTACAACAATACAACACACAATAACACGGTTCCATATCAGAAGAGGTCAAATATTAAAAACAATAGTAGTCCTATTACAGTAGTTTGTATTATGTATAATGTAGAAAAAAAAAATGTATTAAACATGATGTATTTAAATGTACTATAAATTATATACATATATATATATTTACATAATAGTATAATACCATGATTTGTAAATAGTTTACTAAAAACATTCGCTCTCATCTTGTTGAGTTTTTGGTATATTTTTTGTTTATTAAAAAAAAGGCTTTTTTTATCTATTTCAAATTGCACATAAACTAGTTGATTAATTGTTATTTTGTAGTCACCAATAAAAATTGCAGTTCTTATAACACGGTTCCATATCAAAGTCTGCAAAACAAATATATTTAATATATTAATTATATAATGGGGTTTGTTGTATCTATAAACCTAGGTTTATAAATATATATATATATATATATACACGGACTGGTAATACACCGGGTAAACGAACCCAATTGTTGTTATGATTCACATAAATGTTTTATACGAATATGATAAGTAATATTATACATAGTAAAGATATAAAATCTACTTGAACTACAAGAAGTGTATAATTTTTATGGTTTAGGATTCAAGTAGGTTTTATATCTTTACTATATATTTAACCATAAGTTTGCTTAACAGTTTTTTTTAGAATATTATACATTTTCAATACAGTAAAATTAAGTATAATAATACAGGTTGGTCAACGCATCGTGAACCACTTAATATATCATTGGGTATTATTAATAATTTCATTTTTTTCTCCATTATGTATTTATACGATGTGATATGGATTTCTCACATTTTTTTTTATCCCCCTCGCAACTTAGTTTTTTTGATAGATTGATTTTTAAAAATTAAATGGTAACGCTTATATTTTATTATATCCGACAGACCGATCTACCCTAATAGTAGAAATATACATTTGTAAACATATTATTGTCATTAGTTACAATGCTTTTATAGATATTTGTATTTCTGTGGATTCGCATCCAAACGTTTATTTGAAAGTGATTTTATCAGTTGTAACTCAGCGAGAGTCGTGCATTCGAATAAAACATTTTGTAAACAGTCTACTCGAAATTTTTTTCTTCTATATATTCAAACAAAATGTTAAAATTCTAATAAAAATTGAAAAGAATATTTTTATAATATATTAATTACATTGTTTGTTGTGCCATTACAAGTAATTATATTTAAAACATTATATCGTACAAATCTAATATATGTTGTGAGTGTACCAAAAAAAATTTGTTTTTTTTTTGTTCTTCTCTTAACATAATGTTCCTTGGGGTAAAATAATATTTCCCTATTTTTTCAGATTTTTAAAATTATTTTTAGAGGTTGCAAGCATCAGTTTTCCAAAAAAATTGGAAAATTTTTTTTTAGTTTTTAATTTTTTTAAGGTATAAATATAAATTTTAAACAAATGTTAATTGTATACAAAATAATCATTAGAAAAGGAAAAATAAGCCATTTTTTTTTTACAAATAAACTACATCCAACTTATTTAGGCCTTAGAATGTAAAATTTGCGAAAACATTGATATACAGGGTGATCTAACTAACGTAAGACACTCATTTTCTCGGAAAATATGAATATTTTGAGAATTTTTTTTTTTCTAAACTTTTAGGTACATATTTTACTACATTTTTCAATATTTAGAATTTTTTATCTTCAACCCTTATACGTTATAAAACTACGAAACTCGTTTTTTCAAATGGAAACATATGTTTTTAATTCCATAAGTATGTAGACAATTTTTTTTAAAAAATGTTAGCGTTTGAATTTTGAATTTTCAACTATCTGTTCGTTTTCTGTGACTTAGTAAAGGTTTGAAATTAAAATCAATATTTGTTCGGTTTTTCAGCAGTAGCACTTTTATTTGCCAGTAAATAATGATAATATTGGACCCCATCGATAATACTGTCACCGATAATGAGACATAAATAACTCTGGCTTTAATTTTTTTTTATTATTATATGGGCAATCGATTCTTAATCTACCTGTTTGGAAACAAATATACCTTACATAACCGTCATCCGTTCACATGTATTATCAGTAGACTGCGATGTGGACGATTGTGCCTTAAACCACTTTTACGGTATGATTATAATATAGCGTTAATATTATTATCACAGTATCATTATAATATGGTATGAGTAAAACTTAAATTGTCAAACAACAAACAACGTGTACTCGTGATTTGTGAACAGTTTTTTTATATATATAAAGAAGAAACTAGTATTGTGTTTTAAAATGTCTAATTGTGGTTAGTGACATACATTTTACAATTTATTTTGAAACTATAATGAATGTAATGATTTCATAAGGATAATTTAGTTCTCATTAGTAATAGTGAAATTTGTATTTAAGACTTTTTTTAGCAGGACATTTTTTAAGAAGATTATTGGAAAGATAATGATGTGTTGAAACCTTAATGCACAATTTGTCACTGATTACAATAGTCAGTATTGGTTTATCAAGCTACATATCAATATGTCATTTATGATTATTCAGTTACTAGTTAGGTATGTTTCAAATATCAATATGCACTAGAGTCTAGATGTGCAATATTTTAGTATTGAAAAACTGTATATTGTGAATAATAGATATTACACTATTACTATTAGTAAATTGTTACTTTGTATATTTTCAGTTGTGTCAACGTCTTCATTTTGAAGTCGTCTTTTGTAGATATAACCGAAAAATGTACAAAATAAAAATAATATTGTTTTAGATTAGGCATTTTATAGAAATTAGGCGATATAAGTTAATAATTATTAAATTATTTTATTTAGATGAAGAAAATATTGCTTTCTACTTGGAATCTTAGAAGAATAAAATATTAGCATTTAACACAACCATACTCAACCAGCGGCCCCTGGGCTGCATACAGCCCGCCGATTATTTTTATGTGGCCCAAAAAGAACTCATATTATAAATATTTAAAGGCTATAAAAAAAATTATATATTAATATAAAATATAACAAAACAATTATATTTTCAAGATGTGTAACGTACGAGATTGCAATAAGGATGTTAAATTTTAGCATCATAATTATTTGTCTCGAATAATAACTTGTATAAGCATTTTTATTAGTACCATTTAATGTTAAAAATATTAGTTTCTTTTAGTCAAGCCACTCTATAATTATAGTTGACTATTCATTTTTTTAATGTGGCTTAACAAATGAAAAAAGTTAGATTTTATGTTATGCGGTAGCTTTTGTTTTCTAGTTTCTTACATGAATGAAATCATCTTTTAAAAAAAATGTAGCAATATTTTTTTTTATCAATGAAGCAAATGTATTCATATTTGGTTAATATTTTTATTTATGGTAGATCTAATGTCAGATTTTATTTAATTTAAAATGTTGTAATCCAACCCATATTTTGCATTTCTAATGCATAACGGATATTTGATTATGGAATATAAAATTAATTAAACTTGGTGTTTGACTATCATCCATACATTTTATACCAAATATTTTCTTCAAAATATTAATGATTGACAAATAAATGCATATAGGTTATAACATGTTAACAATAAATCAAACTTTTTCATTTGTTATTTAATCAAGTCAGTCAATGTACATAAATAAAATAAAGTAGTTGTATTGATTTGAAAATTCAACTGTTGTTCACTTGTGCTCTTTTAATTATTATTAAACTAATGTAAATATTTTTTTTATCAATATTCATTTTTCTGTAGAATATACTTTTAGTAATAATTACAATTTTAAATAGAATGTTTTATTATATACAGGGTGTCCTACAAAGATCGGACAAACGAAATATATTTTATTATTATTATTATTATTATTATTATTACGCTATAGTGTAATCGGTGTTGATACTGATAAACCTACTTCCCATAATATGTCAAATATCAAAAATATATTTACAAAATGTTTACTATTACTAGTAGAAATACGTTTTTGCTTATGAAATCATTATGTTTATTAGTTTTAATCGTACATTGTAGAGCAATATAAAATGTAGTCACAACTAGAGAATATATAAACACAATTGGGCTCTACTTAAATAATTAAATGTATTAACAGAACAACTACCTGTTTTGAAATCCCAAATAAATATGGATCAAAATTTCAAATCTTTACAACGTAATAAGTAGAAAACCGATTGATGAAAATTAGAAATTCAAACGCTAAAACTTTTTTAAAAATGTTGTCTACAGATTTATGAAATTAAAAACATACGTTCCCATTTAAAAAACCAAATGCGATACTTGTTTTACATATAAGGGTTGAAGATAAAAATATTCTAAATATTGCAAAATGTAGTAAAATATGTACCTAAAAGTTTAGAAAAAAAAAAATTCTCAAAATATTTATATTTTCTGAGAAAATGAGTGTCTTACGTTAGTTGAATCACCCTGTATATACCCTTAATAGTACCCTAAAATATTTTAAACTTATTCCTCATTTAGTTGCGAAGAATTCCGATGTACTTACATAACACATTATTCTAACAATAGATCAGAAAAAAAATTAAAAAAAAAAAAAACAAAAGACAAGTTTTTGATGCTCGCAACCTCTAAAAATAATTTTCAAAATCTGAAAAAAATAGGGAAATATTATTTTACCCCAAGGAACATTATGTCAAGAGAAGAACAAAAAAAAACAAATTTTTTTTGGTACATCCTAATATATAAATATATATATATATAGAAAGAAAATTTTTAATTAAAATTTGATACTATAGTTATGTTACAGACATATTTCTAGACGTTCTGTGTTGCTACGTTAAAAATAATATTAAAAATACTTAGTATAAATAATTCAATGTTAAATC